TGGAAATTATGAATACTACTAGTATAATCTTTTAGCTTGAAAAAGATGTCTTTTAGAGCAAACTTATTAAAGGGTCAAATATTTTCTTAATTATGCCCCTCTCAACTCAAATGAAAATGATTTTTTATCTGTCAAAATTAAAGGAGATGCTAATTTCAATGAACTCTTTGATGCCCTTGATTAATTAGGAGGCACTGTCCAAACTAACGATACCCTTATTGGGAGTTTAGGTCACACATTAATTTATATGGATTTAGTATGCAGATGTTTTTGCACACATATCCAAAACATAATAATTACAATTTAATTTTCACATTTGGAAATCACACAAAAATTGTTTATAAAAACTTGTATCAAGCATGCTCTGGGTCTTATTATTAAAAAAAAGGAAACTACCAACTTGGAAAATTGCTTTGGTGTGAAGAAATTACGTGTTAGTTGAAGAAAGAATAATCTGATTGTAGGCATGGGCGGTGGTGCTGGCCAAGATAGCAATGACCTTTCCTCTTTATAGTCTTATTCCTCCTCTTCCTGCCCCCTTTATTTGAGAGTCCTAATCCAAATTTGATGTTCTGACAAGGAAACCAAAAGGCAGGGCAACATCAGATGCCTACGAAATTTGGGACAGTTGATGGATTATTTGGGTCGGCAGAAAAAGAGAAGGTGCCCATCAATGCACAATTCTTGACTAATTGATCAATGTTTAAGCTGAAGATTAGAGACCTGCCAACAAATTTATGCTTACTTTCTTGGTTTTTCGTTTCATAGTGTAGACAAGTAAATTGAATGCTCAGGGTCTAGATACTTTTCTTTCATTAACGTCGATTATTGCGTGTTTAGGGTCAAACTACCCCATCTGCTTGTCAATTTTAATTCAAATCTATTTTTTTTTTCTAAAAAGTAATTCAAATCTAATTAGGATGATAAAAGCAGTGTTGACTTTCTGAAAGATCATTTTAAGCATGAACATTTTTTTGACTATGTATCTTGAAAATATCAAGCTCAATGACACGTAGATTTCATTTCAGTTTATGGTAGTTCGTTTGTTTATTTAATTAATTTATTATATTTTTATTGAATTTGTACTTAAAAATTTTTAAAAGTCAAGTTCAAGTTTTATTGTATATGGATTTCATTTAATGTTACATTGGTTTGTTGATTTAATTAGTTTGTTCATTACTTTCTTGTTGAATGTAATACATGGAATAATAGTTCATTAAATTGTAATTTTTAATTATACATGTAACTTTATACTTTTTTTAAAAAAAGAAAAAGTAAACATTGTACATATAGAGTCTGTTTCGCCTGATGCTTATTTACCTCTTAAAACAAGAAATTAAGTTAAATAGGATTTTTGAAAAGTTTTAAAAAATAATTTTTTTAAAAAATAAAATTTTAAAAAAAAACTTTAAAAAAAACTCTAGATATGAACTTTCTCTTCTCTCTCTCTCTCTCTTTTTTTTTTTAAACATGCCAACATTTTAAAATATAGCCCATCTCAATCAATTTCTCTCTCCTTTCCTTCTTTTATGCAGATCACCCTTCTCTAACGATCTTCCTCTTTTCTACTTCTTTTTTTAAAAAAAACTACTAGAAAGACAAGAAAAAAAAAACAAAAGACTTAAAAATAGAATAGCAAAATTTAATATTTTTTTATTTTTACAAAGATTAAAAGAAAAAAAAATTTAAAATTCAAAATTACATTCCAATACTATTTAAAGATTTTTTCTTTTTTTCGAAAAAAAAATTTTAATACTATTGCTATTATACAAGTTTAAGAATTGTTTCCTTTTTTTATAGATTTTTTTTTATTTTAACATCTAAAATAATATATAAACTCGAAACAAACTTGTTCCGTTTTGATTTATTAGGTGATTGAAGATGATAAAAATACTCTTTATGATAATTTTAACTAAAAATTAAAACTTATATAATTTATTTTATCAAACAACTGAATAAATAACTTTAATTTAATTTTAAAAATTTTTTTTTTTTATAAAAGCTTCATAATAATTTTTAAATTAAAAAAACTTTATTCAAACAGGCTCTTTTCTCTGTCAAATGGGCTAACTTACTACTATGTTACTCCAAAAGTAACTATGGTCCAATTAGGATTTATGTTACAACACCTTAATTGCATTAAATTTTAGCATTATTATATTTTTATTTTGATTGATTTGCGAACAAAATCAACAGATTAATATCCATGACGTCAAATGATTCTCTAATATTTTATCGGTTATAAATATATATATATATATTTTTAAATCTTCCTTGGTACAAAATTATAAGTTTAGCTTGTTTTTGGATGACATGTTTTATTAGTCAATCGTAAGGTTGTATGACGTGCTCGCCGACAATGATACAAATCCATGTCCTTGGCCTCATACAAAAAGCAAATTATTCCAACATTACTTTTATGGAATGGAGCATAATTTAACCAAACAGCTTTATACTTTCTTTCTCTTTTGCCTCAAAAACTCCAATTTTTTTGTTTTCGGTATTTTAAGAAACACAGATAAATTTTTGCATGCAAAAGTAGGGTAACCTTTGTTAGGAAATTAGGAGGAAGTATGACATGTAAATAATAATATCTAAAAGGTAAGAAAAATTACCACAGAAAAAAAAATGAAAATTCAACAATATATATGATATTTCTATTACTGGATATCAAATTGGCTTTGGTCGTTTTAAGACAAGTGGTTGGTGTGTGGGCTTTGAGATACACAGGAGAATAGAAGACGAAGGTGGTTTGCTGAAAAAAACCATTGTACGCCAATTTGTTGAAAAATATTTAGCATGTGTAATGCGACGTGCGAGAAAAATATCTGAACTAAAGTTGGTCAGAAATTCCTGGCTTTATATAAAACAAATGTGACCAGAAAATGTTAACCCAACTCTCTCTCTCTAATATCTGGACTAATACTTAATTTTTGCCCCTTATTCCCCACTATTTAGCATTAGAAGTGGCTTAAATGCGGTTTAATTTATTTGATGATCAAATAAACCTCACATTTCCCACCCAGAGAACAGCTGCTGGGTCTATGTCATACTAAATAAATATAATCACAAAAACCTATGTGAATGCTCATCATATCATGCCACCTTTAAATTTACTTTGCCCCCCCCCACCCCCCCCCCCCCCCCCTTTTTTTTCTAGAAAAACCCCCTGATAATTGGAATTTAGTAGAGCATTTGGAAATTCCCTCGACCCTTTTCCAACTTGGGATTCCTTCAATTGGTGGCTGATGGCCCCTCAGAAACTCCCATTTGCTTTCTGCTTTGTTGGGTGTCTTGTGCCTCTTCAACCCAAACAACTGGCATGGCCCTGTTTACCGTCTTCACATGTCATTTATTCCTTGCATCCAGATGAACATAGTGGCTTCATGAACATAGAAGAATTCTATTAAAATTGGGTAAAATACTTCTATTCTTCTAATTTTTAATTAAAATTTTAAATATATTAATTAATTTTTAAAATAAACACTGCACCTCAAAAATATAAATATCATTAATAAAAATTATAAAGCATTAAAATATTTTTTTAATAAATTTAAAAAAATAAAAAAAATAAAGAGCACTAACTAGCTCTCCAAGAAAGGGAGCAACGGCCAAGAGATTGATGCTCCCTAAAGGAGGGGAGCACTAGATCGGTGCTCCCAAGGGAGGAGCTCGTCAGATGGGGAGTCTTTTTTTTTTTTTTTTTTAATTAATAAAATTAAATTATAATTTTAAAATTAATTAAAAATAAAATTATTTTTTTATTTTTGTCACGTTATAAAACTGTTGAAAATACTAATAATTGAACCTATGTGTTCAATAAAAAATATTTTTTTGAGACGAAATATTTATTTAAAAATTAATAAATTTTAATGTAATTTTAATCAAAACTTAGAAGAATGAATATATTTTATCCATTGAAATTTGAATGGTCTATATCTCAACATTTTGCTTAATTAATTAATATGCGTATTCTCTGCTAAAAAAATTGAGTTCGATTTTCTCTCTTTGCTTAAAAAAAGCTCAAAAAAATAGATTGAACAAATCAACTTAAACTTAAACAGAATTTATATTCGATGAGACTTGACCTTGGATTTAAAGATTAGAATCTAAAATTAAGAAATTAAATTTGATGTTTCTGAAATTTTGAAATTAAATGCAAATCAAAACAAACTTTGAAATGGAATAGTAGGTTGCTGCTCCTTTGACTGTACAAGTGGAATGATATGGAAAGTAGCCATGTATTTAGAAAGAGGAAAGAGATAAATTTGTAGAAATAGAAAATATTGACATTAGGTCATTGTTTTCTATCAGAAACGCAATTCTTTGTTTTTGGTCCTTCCCCAGAGTATGCATTTTAACTTTAGTGTTTGATGAGATATGCTTGGCATGATGCAAGTCCTATGGCATCCCACCCACAATGCCCACTAATGGTGAAGCAAAGCTTAAATCTGTGGTTAAGGTTAGAAAACTCCCCGAAAGTGCAATGTCATCATCAGATACAATGCCTGACTTCGGCCCCAAGACATTATGCACCAAATGAAATTTTCTAACTTAAAAAGCTAAAATCACATTTTGTTGTTCTTTTACTCATGGTATGGTCAAAGTTTTCAACCAAATTAAACCACAGTTCAAGCTATTCTTCACTGACACTGACGTCGCCAATGACCAAACCCCCAAAATCTAGAAATGAATTGAATTCTACGAGAAAAATCCAATTCATGAATGAATACAAAGACCAAGCTACCTTACAGAATCAAACAACAGACCAATTATTACCTATTGCAAAACCTGGATCCCACAAGTAGCACCAAGGAATTAAAAATAAGAAGATAGAATATAATATTTCTTGATCACAATTGACAGCAAAAAAGTCCCAGTCAATGAAGAGTCATTGTTTCCTGGAAACGAAGAATGCATAACAGATATTCATGGACTCACTTGCACCCAATTTCAACACGTATGGGCAGTTTACTAAAGCTCTGCAAAAATCCAAAATGCCTTTCACATCCCTTTAAATGATAATGAATGGTTGGATGAATAACTCCAAACATAAATGCACATATAACACAGTGAATTCATCCCCAAGGACCTATTCATTTCTCTTGACAAGGACCTTCACAATCAGGTTGCAGAAATTCCAAGACAGCCAGATTGTCAGCAGTATAAATTCCAAAAGAGCTAGAATTTTGTCAATGCATATAATTATCCTCATATCTTTTATAAAACAGTAATTTATTGTCTGCCAATTCTGTAAACCACTATTAGAGCATGGAAAGAACAAACATGCTCTTTCTGTCTTTATAACTTCTGGGAAAGAGTTTTCTTATTGCTCAATAACAACGGAAATATAAATGATCATGCCCGTTTTGTTCGCCTTCCAACTTCCAGAGCCAACTCAGTATCAATTTTGAGGGATATATCAAGTGCTTTCACAGAATGCGTAAGTGCACCACTGTAAACATCCAAACATCAGAAACAGTTAATCATACCACGAATTTTAAATTGCTGCAATGATAACTTACTGTTAAATAGTTCCATTAAAATAAACAGATCCATCTAAATGCCAAAAAATTAGTCATCCATGAAAGAGTATCATGTGCATTTTAAAGAACTTTGAATGAAATGATTAATTTATAATGATTCAAAGAGATTAATTAGGCACCAATGCATTTTATCCTTCACTATACCCAAATGCATCATGCACACATCCCACAAACATTAGCTGATGTCAGTGATACCTTCAACTAATTTCTATTTTTTACTGAAACAATTTCCCAAAAAAATACAATTATCAAGAAAAAGAACCTGCAAATGCATGCAGGTGCATAACTGGTTTTCAGTTAAAGGCCTGATTTTGTTTTTAACTTAAAAGAGAATACCCATGGGCAAATGTTTCAGTTTTTTATACTTTTATCACATTTAAAAAATGTTAATGAAGCAATGTATGCAGAACAAATTCATAATATAGCAAAGCACACAGAAAACTAAATTCTTACAAGGCAAGAATAGCACTTTTTACTAAAGACAACTAAAAAACCTTGATTTGAGCACTGAAAACCACAGAGACCATTGTGTGGCATGTAATTCTCAACCTCTGTGCCTGCCTGAAGAGACATGGCTCCCGTATGGTGCCAAAGAAAGCAGTGGCATATCCTATCCACAAGCAGTAGGGGCCATTCTCACTTGAGTGCACTTGTTAAATCTTATGATATTGATGTTTATATATATTTCTCGGCATGTGACACATCTTAAATTTTTAGATTGAATTCCAACAACTTTAAATACCACTAGAACTAACTTCAGAAGCAAAAATATCCCTAAATGGATGATAAGATTTTTCTTTGATAAAATACCTCCATAGTTCAGATAAAGTTGAGGTAACTTATAACTTTTCTGTTTAATTAAACAACATAAATCACAGGAAAAAAGTTGCACTGCCTTACCTGGATATGTAGGTAACTCCAGTTTGTCCAATTTTATGTACGGTTTCAAGAGTAACATTGCCAGATGCCTATCACAATGGAAATTCATGTGTCAGTTCTAAGCCTCAGAAAAGTGCACAGTGAGGCAATTAAAATAGACGTCATCAGGTAAAACCATAGATGGCACTTGATAGCTACATGAGCAAGAATGTCAAGGCAAGTCACCACAATGGATTACATTTTAGAAATTGTTCAAAAAATCAAGCAGCTCCACACAAATCTTGTATAATTTTATTCATTTGCACATATTTGAATACCAAAAAGCCAGGCAAATAGGGCAAACCATTGTATCACAACCCCTCCATGACCCTCAAATAAAGTAAAATAAAGAACAAACACATCACTTCAGCAGGAATAATTTACTACAGGACAGCAGCCATCAACAGTATTGCAAAGTCTGTAGGCACTAAATAAATGAACAGAAGAGTTACATGATAAAATCATGAGGTACCTCTGTCTCAAATTTCCCATTTATTAGCTCCACAGCTTCTTTAAGCATAGACACATCAACATCACCATTTGGAAGAGGTGCAACCATATTATCCAACATTATCCGGGTCAAGGAAGTCTTCGTTTGAGATGCATACTGCAATACCTCCTTTACTTCCTCATGAGTCCGGGTCTCAACCTTGAAAAAGACAACATTGTTAACGTATCAGTTACAGTTGCCACAATGCACCCACTGATTGATTCATTTGCACAACAGGACACGCAGAGAGAGAAAACCACTCTGAAGCATTGTTAATTAAAAAGCAAGATATTAAAATTACAAAATTCAAGTTAAACATGTTTTTCAGCAATGATTTATACTTCAAAATGAAGGGTTGAATCAAGTTGTAGGATACATAATCTACCACGTTAATATTTATAGATTTGCAACCAACTCTGTTAACTAATCCGTGGCACAAACTACTTAATTAGCTATAGATTTTAAAATCTGAAAAATTTACCTCAACCTCCATTTGAAGATTTTCTTGCTCTAAATACTCGTCAACAGATCTAAGGGCATTCCTGATTCCTCCAGCTATTGATATATGATTATCCTTTATCAACACCATATCAAATAAACCCAGTCTATGATTCCTTCCTCCACCAATTAGAACCTACAAGAAGCAAATTTCAACAATATCAACCAAGGGTGTAAGAGAAAGAACAAACAACTATAGAGAAAAATCAGGGAAGTGATCTACACCGCCCACTTGTCCACCAAACGTAAGCCTGGAGCAGTTTTTCTTGTCTCTAAGATGTATGCAGGGTGTGCAGCATCAGCCATTGCCTGCAAGAAAAATTAACATTCTAAAACGGTCTTTTGTGCACATTACAAAGCTATTGCACTGATAAGATTTTGCTAGGTGTCTTGTTTCTTTATTATATTTACCATGCATGATTGCCTAATATGGATTTCATAACTGAATTTATAGGTTAAAACAATTATGAAATGCATTGCATGTCTTGTTTCTTCAATATATTTACTGTGCATACACGACGTAATTTGCAATTTACAAGTATTAGTCCATCAAAAATTGAAAATTGGCTCTGTTTTGATCACATATATAGGTGGAAAAACAAGGCCATATAATAATCAGTAACAACAAACTTCAAACTTCTCGAAGAATGTAGGAATTAACAACACTAACAATCCAAACAGTTATGTTTTTGGTCAAATACAATTTGTACTCATCAGCCTATTGTTTTGCAATTCCAATCCACAACAATCTAAAATAAAAAAGATGCATTTCGTGTTTTCCTACAACCATCCCTATTATCTGCTCTATAAATGCAACTAAGATTTGCTTGATTAAAATAAAGATACTTAGCTACGATTATGAGAAAACATTTTTTACTTTATTTATAAAACTCAAGGAAATAGAAGCACCTTAGTTAGTGTCGCTATACCACTCATCCGCTGCATAAAGTTCAGAGCTATTCTTTCAGCTACAACAATGCTATGTGCCCTTCCTATATGGAGAGAGCATATGATTTTAGTAGGACCTTCTTATACAAAACTAAGAAGCCCCATTTTGTCTTACCATAAACTTTTCCAAACTGCAGCCCCTTCTGGACATAATCTCCATCCTTTCGAGACCACTCCACCTGATATCAGAATGTACATCAAAAGGAGGAAGTTTGTGGTCCAAGCACGCTAACCACATGGATAAACAAAAGACACAGAGCACGGTGTCTCTATACCTTCAAAGAAGGATCAACCTCTAGAAAAACCATCTCTGCAAGCGCAATTCCAGCAATGATACCATCCTCCTTAGCCAGAAAATGGGCTTCAACTTCCATGTCAAATGGAATGGTGGCCATACAAGTCACATCTCCTGCTATTGAACCCAAATGTTCCATAACTTGAATGCAGAAGATATTTACAAAATTATAACTGAATATTTGCTCACCCTGCAGCAAAACCTTTAGCTTAATGTTTTCATAAAAATCATTAAAGATCTTTATCAACTTAGTAAAGCAAAGATTACGGGATATAAAACACTGAAATGGAGATGCCATAAAAGCAAGGATGAATATTGGAAATTAAAATGAGAATCAAACCTCGACCACCAGCATCTTCAGCAAGGGCAAGCTTAATGATGCCCTTTAAATCATATGTAGGGTGTGAAGGAGGCTTTATTGCCACAGCTTCGAATGATAATCCAGCAATTGTAGTGTGAGCAGCAGCCATTCTAACAATATGCCTACAGCTTCGGACAAACAAAAAAATCAGGCTCAACCAACTGCTAAACAAGAGGGTATTCTATAATTCAACAAAGTACCTTGAAGTTGTGCACCAACGAGGCAAAACCGTAGAGGAAATAGAAAACATTCCAGGCTTGGACTCCTTGTGTGTTAAGGTCTTACAGTCTAGTGAGCTTTCTACTGTCACCTACTAACAGTTACCTCCCAGTAACAGCCCAGAAGCATCAGAAAACTATATGGGAAATCGCTATATTTAATGAAACAACATTAAAAATCAAAATTTTATGTTCCTAAAGGCCACTCAGTAAGTTTTCTTTTCTTTCTTTTTTTATTGAAGATCACCCAGCAGGGTTTTAGACATAAATATCATCTTAGAGCCAAAAAAAATTCAGAAAAAAAGGGAAAATAAGTGAAATGTAAACAAGATTGGTGGATTGAAGATTTCCGTACCTTACCTGATTGATTAATGGGATACCCAATATCCTTCCTTTCAATACCTAAAAGATAAACCTGTTACACATATATCTTTCCCCACATTCGTTTAAGGCCGTCAGTTTCAATTTTTTTTTTATTGAAACGTGCTAGATGATATACCTTATACGTGAAAATGGTGATAAAAGGTTAAAAAGTACGAAATAAAAATAATAATAAAGGGAGTTAAAATCCATAAAATTAATGGTGTTATTATGCATAAATAATTCATATTTTATAAGTAAAGATTTAATATTTTATAGTCGAACTGATTTTTTATTTTACATTTTTTTTGTATTATCGATATTTTGCCTAGGAAGTGGATATCTATTAGAAAATGAAAAGGAAAAGTGCATGGTCTAACGAATTTAGTACTTGGAACTAATTAAATTAGATTACTGTTGCTCTATTTCATTTCAGATTTAGGTTGTTATAGGTTTGGATTATTTCAGGTTTAAAATGTAATAAATTTTTATTTATTTTGAATCTAAATTTGTATTATTTTAGATACCAAGTTACTCAAATTTAAAAATTAATTCATAATTAGATGGATTGAGCTGGATTAATATTAGTCTACTTCATTTCAGATTTAAGTTCCTATAGGTTTGGATCATTTACGGTTTAAATTGTGGTAAACTTTTATTATTTTGAGTTTAAGTTCATATTATTTTAAGTATCAAGTTACTCAAATTCAAATGATTATTAAATTTTTAAAAATTAATTCAAGTAAAACCAATATAGAGGTATTTTAGTAATAATGAATAAATTACAAAAAGAAAAACCTCTAGACCCTTAAACAACACTAACCCCTCTTCTTTGTTCCTTTTTCAAAGGATCTAACCTCTCTTATATTAAAATGTATTTTCCCACTTGTAAACATTCCATTTTTTTGGGTGAATTTATTATTATTTTAATCTTATTTTTTGTGTTATTTTTAGACTTAATTAATTTATCTTTGAACTTAATTAATTTTTTTGAAACTTTTAAATTTAGATCACGTCCTTAAATTTATTTCGACTCAACATTTTGCCTACTTAGTCTTATTTTAAGTTTTTATTAATTCGGCCACATTTACTTTTTAATTATGCATTTACTGATTGGGTAATTTTGTTAAGGTCAAGTCACGTGATTTTGGGTTCTGGACTCATTAAGCTCAATAAGGAAACCCATCAATGGCAGTAGTAATTACTGTTTTTATAGTATATTAAATAGAGATAAAATCGATAAAGCTCCTTCAAAACATTTTAAAAAAACATTTTGATCTTTCTTATTTTAAAATCATAATATTATATAAATAGTTAAAAATATTAATTTTAATACTATATAAATATTTTAAAACATAAATTCCTTTTATATTATATTTCTAATTTAAGCATATTCTCTTTAAAAAAAAATCTATTCATGTTCTCTTTGAGAATCATAAACTTCTTTCCTGAGGTAAATTATTGTCATCAACCTTTTTATTTGTTCAACAATTTGAGAATTTTTTTTCCATTGAAAAGAATGTATTAAAAAGTAAATTTTTTGTTCAATGATGGATATTTCAAATATGATGATGTCAAATTAAGAGATTAATTTCATAATTGTGATTATTAATTTTGATGATTTTTCTTTCAAAATTTATTCTTTGAAACTAGGATTTACGGTAATGTAAAAAGATTTTGACTTGATTACTATATATCAAAAGTTTTAAGTTTTTTCTTCTCTGTTAAATATTGAATTTTATTAAATATAAAAGTGATCACATTTTAGAATTTTATTAAGTTTTGTTATTTTTTTGTCAGATATTGAATTTTATTAAATATCAAAGTGAATTTTATTAAGTTTCAAAAGAGAACATGAGAAATTTTTTTTAAAAAAAGCATTTATGTTTTAAAAACATAGAAGAAATCACCACCTTAAAAAATCACAAAAAAATTCCACCTTTGCCTCCAAAACCACCATTGACCACCCTCGATGCACTAAAACTCTAAGGTGACGTTTGGTACATTACGATGCAATGTGATTACAGGTAATGTGATTACAAGTAATGTGATTACAGGGAAAATAACATTAAAGTATTTAGTATACAAACAAAATAATGATTAAAATGCAGGAAAGATAGCATTGCAGTGTTTGGTTTACAAGTACTTTACTGGGAATGTAATGTTAATTTTTAAAATTACCCCTAATTATTAAAATATAAGTTTAATATATTTATATTTTTTATTATTAATTTTATATAATATCATTTCTTAAATATATTTTTAATATAATATATTTTATTTTTATTTATTATTATAATATTTTATATTTGATTTTTAATATATTTATATTTTTATTATTAATTTTTATATAATATCACATTTTAAATATATTTTTAATGACATATATTTTATTTTCATTTATTATTATAATCTTATATATTTTATTTTCATTTCTTTAATATATTTTTTATATTATATATTTTATTTTAATTTATTTTACCTATATTATATAAATGTTAATTTTTTATATTTTATTTTATTTTAATTTTTATTCTTATATTATATATTTTATTTTAATAATAACATTATAAAATACTTTTAATAAGGTAATAAAGTTGAAGGGTAAAATTATCTTTAAAAATATTACAGAGTGCAATGTAATGTGATTGCATTGGTTTTGGACTGCAATCACATTACATCTATTGGCTGTAATGTGATTGCATTGCAATCTTCCATTGCAGTGGTCTGTTACAAAACAAACACTGTAATATAATTTAATAAGTCACATTGCAGGAATGTGCTTTACATCCCTGATACCAAACAGACCCTAATGCCCCAACCTTTGCCTTTCACCACAACTCGTTGTCGCCCACTTACTATCACCCAAAACTACACTTCCCTCTCAAAAAAAAAAAAACCCAAAGCCTCTACCCACGGTCCCAAAAAACCACAACACACGGCCATTGCCACAATACCAAAGCCTCCACCAGAACCACTACTAATAAGCTCTACCTTCTATCATTATAAAAAAAGCCACCACATTCATTTAAAATTATATTGCATATTAACTCATCTTCATAGAACTTAAAATCAAGACATTTTCCCCAAAACCATCACCGTTAACCCAATTACCTACCGCCCCTAGCCTCCACAATCTCTAAAAATTATAAAAAAATCTACCATTTTTTTACAAAAGAGTTTTTTTTTCTCTAACCTCATATGACCATAAAACATTTTACAGTTGTAAAAATTTTCTCCTTTTAAGGTGACAGAAAAAGCTGAAAAACTTTTCTAAAAAAAAAATTGATTTTTCAAAAACATTTTTGGAATAAAAAGCTTGTTACAAATGTAAAATATTTTACATATTAAGAAAAAAATCTATTGAGTAATGTAGCATGTCTAACAATAAAAAAATGTAAAACATTTTCCATTTATCTTCTTTTTTCTCTAGATCTCACTTAGAAAATGTTATTGGTATATTTTTAAAATTAAAGGTTAATTACATTATGAAAAACTATCTTAATTCAAAAGTTATGTCACATAAAGTGACATAGTATGACTATTGGATTGTAGGTAGGCTTTTCATGTGAATGGTTATATCTTTTGTTAAAATGACATGTTTGAAATATACCTCTAAATTTGAAGGTTATGAGACAACTTGGAAAAACACCACTGGTCACAAGTTTGAATATGAGAAGTTATCGTTTCAAATTATAGCTTAAAGATTATACTTTATGGAATAAATGGTTGTCCTTTTATAAGATGATTATTGAAATAATTCTTTTATTCAAAGGATGTATTTTACAAAATGTAAAGATATTTTTTATACAAAGTGGTGCTTGGATGAAAGGGTTGTATCCTTGAAAAAGAGACACTCGCATGTCTATATAAAGGGCTTGTTACCAACCACTTTGATACATCAAAACAAAAACTAAACAAGAGCAGAAAAAGCACGAGCAAGAAAAGTGCTGTGTTCTGAAAATTAACATAAATACCTAAGTTCCCATCAATAATAAAAGCGTCCAAATTTTTATAATCTACTTGTTGTAAAAAGTAAGATCTAAGGCTGAATAACTTTGCAAACTTTCAGGTGTATCTAGCGATTTACTCTCGTAAAGTGCAAAATGAAGTTAGGCTATAGCTTTATTGTATCCCTAAGACTATTTGAATTATTCCCTTTTGCATAATGACTGGTGGGGAAGAAATAAGTCTTAAAGATAATATCTATTGCAAAGCTCACCTTGAAGTCAAATTTGTCAATTCTTTGAATTCAATTTAAACCTCATTTGCACCAACAAATATTGCTCTCCTATTCTTAAAGATCATTTGTTGGAAAAATAATATATTGCATAAAGTTTCAACATCCCACATTGCCAAGGTACAAGAGAAGTGAGTGTCTTATATATAAAAACCCATAATAGGCTTGTTTAAAGCAAGAAAAGAAAGTGGGCTAGTGCACACACGAGATTGGGATAAGCTTTGAGAAAATGCAAATTCTCCCCCTTACGAGTATACGCGTGGGCTAGGCCCAAGTATAATTGTGTACCTTGGTATATAATTTTATGTTTCCCCAACCTTTAGTAGTTTATATTAATATTTTGTAACATTAACTTTATGCTTCAACCTATGAATACAACCTCTTTACCTTAGTCACGACACACCAACAGATTTCTTGTACTAAAACGTGATGTTCTTGATAATAATACTATTTTTGAAATAAAAAATGCCGAATTTTTTTAGCATATTTTTTCATTGAAAACTAATACAATTTTTTATGCACCTTTTAGTAAAAATAATTTTAAACTACCCAATGGTGATTTAAAAAAGAACAAAAGACCAAGGAAAAAAATTTCTTTTAGTAATGATTTTTACACTTATCTTGTAGATAATGATCCTTTAACTTATACTGAGACAATTTCTTCTAAAGAAAGTCCATTTTGGAAAGAAGTTATAAAAAATAAGAATGATTCGATTTTACAAAATCAAACTTAGGAATTAGTTGATTTA